ACCCCAAATTTGTCACTCTAACAACACTAAACACAGCGCCACCAACATACAACAGCCTCCACTCCAAACCGGCTTGAGCTTGATCACTAAGATAGCATCTCGGCTTATCCCACCAAATGTCTTCACTAACCCACGTATAGCCTTTTATAGCTTTCGACCACGCTAAGGCTCAAAGTATAGAGTAAAAGACCATGTCCTTTAGAATGATTCGTTTATCATTGAAAACCCAATCATTACGAGCTTACCAAATACTCCATAGCGAAACATATGGTCAGCATCTTTAACACTCACCTCGCACCAGCAACATGAACGATCGATCCCCTCCAACTCTAAACCACGAATTCTTAAAAATCCTCCAACTACCCTAACATAAATGAGTTTTTGTTTTATTATCGATTGATCTGCCTTTAAGATAGCTTTAGGGATTTAAATAGCAGTCTGCAACCGTAATAGTGCATGCGATATAGCGATAGTGGTATCATCTGATATCGTTATTGTATGATCGCGATACCTGCAATCATCACAATAGCTTCCATTATGTCCGCAATCACAATGAACGTAACGCAATCGAAAACGCGACTATAACCATTATTTAAAATCCCTGGCTTTACCCCCACACTAGAGCCATGCCCCCGACCTCCTAACTGGATGTGATTCTCTAAAATCAAACTCATTATCGTACCAAAACTTTCAATTGTCTAACTCGTCTAGTGCTTTCTTCTTTGTTTCTTACAACAATACCATCTCCACCTGGTTTTTCAACATCATACGCAGAGCTAATACTTTTGCAGTCGCCCGTAACCCTCTCTCAATCCACGCAAGAACCATCATCGCTATACTTTTGCAGCCAATTAAGGTTACTGACAAGCATAAGGCTCGAATCCGACGAGTTTTGACTTGATCTAATTTATAAGGTCGAGCTTTTTTTTCTTTTTAAACATTCAAGTTCAGTGGGTTTTTTTAAGGATAAAGTCGGATCGAGTTTAAATTTAAGATGAAAAATCTTCAATCCTAGATAATAGTATAATTAGTCATTATATATTTAGAGATAATTAAGGGTATAAAGAAATAAACAATTACAATCATTTAATTTAGCAATTTTCAATGATTTAAAAACTATTCTAAACGTCAACTTGTTTTATCCATTTGCTAAATAAATATAGCATTTAAAATGGAAGGTTTGCAAAATCATTTTAAATGGTTACAATAAGAACGAAGAAAATAAATGTGCAATTCAATGCTCTGACATGGCGACGCGGGCAATGCCAATGCCATATGACAAAATAAATATGCCTTTTTTCGATATTTATAAGCATTGAAAATTGCATTTACTCCTTTGAAACAATTTATAAAAATTGAAATCATAATGCATTTCAAAACGTATAACAGATAAAACAAGACTCTGAACAAATAAAGATTGAATTTATGAAATGAAATCAATAATTAAAAAAATATTATTATTTTTTCTCAATGTCTTGAATTTGACCAGTTAGATCTACATGATGTATGTATATTTTTATAAAATATGTTATCTTATAATCAAAATTAAATTGTGGTCTTTAGAACAATGCTCAAAATAGAAGGTGTAAGACTCACCACGGGGAGCATTAAATCCACTCCCTCTAAGCAATCGAAATTGAAGAGAAGTAGCCTCGAGAGTTTGGTCATATTGGTAGTGATGCTCATAAACACTGTGCAATGCTTCTTCTATCTCTATTTCAAAATGGTAACTCACTCCTAACCGTTTGATTGTATCAATTAAACGCAATTTGTACAATAACTCATCATCCACGTCTACCTTAATCGTCCTCCTTACTTCTTTTTTCAATTCTTCGTGCTGTAGTTGAGTTTCATCATCCACTTTCTGCACAATTGTATGCATTAGAACACTTTTAGAGGTGCAGACGCACAATCACACATATATAGTATCTATTATTTACCATTTTAGATGGACATAAGAAAATATCCCCCCACAAGTCAAGGGGAAAGTTGACTATGGGGGATTCTCGTTGGAGATGGATCCATGAGTTGAAGGAGGAAGCTTTGACGAAGACATTTCTTTAGCAAGTAATTATGTTGAATTGGTGTGAGCCAAACAAGTCCTGTACTGTAGTATTTATATAACTTTTCTATATTTACGTGGAAGAGGAGGCCTATTTGATTTTTTTTAATTTGATTTTTTTACGGTGGGTGATAAGTAATCACAAAGTTTTTCTTTATGAGATATATAATTATAAATTGATCGGATGGAACGAGATATTAAATTTTTAATTAATATTCATTATTATTTGACTCAAAAAATAAAACAAGTCTATTGTGTTGTGGTACAAATCTTTGTTTTAAAGGAAATCCAACCTAATTGGTGTCATCGTGAAGTGAATGTCATCCCATAAAGTTGATAGACTTACGATGACATTTCGAATGAGATTTGAGCATCTATGAGTCGAGATATCTTATTACAAGATGATCAGCTGTCGGTTTTCTTTTTATTGCATTCTTGAAATGCTTCAATCAAACTTCAAGAACTCAAGATACGTCCACTTTAGTGAAGACAATGCAGACCAAATTTCAAACATGTCTAATGCGATAATCTTTTATTACATTAAATCTTTAATAATTTATTGATTATTTGTAATTAAATTCAACTTAAGAATCTTAATTATGTATTTTAGATAATTTAAGATCAAATATATCATTTTATTATGGGATTTATTTTAATTAGTCTCCTAGCTTATCCAAAACTTTATTATTTGTTTATTAAATCTTTTACATTAAATTAGAGATGAACTTATGTAAATTAATTATATATAGGATTTTTCTAGTATATAAATAGACTTCTTTCAATTGTAACAATAGACAAGATTCATTCAGTAAACAACTTTTCTTCTAAAATTCTCTTGAGAGTTATTTATTTATTTCAAGATATTTATTGTGTTCTTGATTTAGAGGTCAGGCATTTCAATTTTGGCACACATTCATCTAAGACAGGATCTTAGAAGGGAATGTCCTCATATCCAATTTACTTTTTATCATTCTTTTAGTTTATTTCTCATTCCTTTGTTTTCTTTTAAGGTAAAAGTCAAATTGAGTTCGGATTTAGGGTAAAAAATTCTCAACCTCAAATAATAATATAATTATTCTTTATATATTTATAGATACTTGTAAGATTCTACATTTTGTATCGAATAAAAATTATAAATATATATTTATTACCCTAAACCCGTACTCAGTTTGTGTTTTACTTATATTTCGAATAATATAATTTTCATTTTTTATTCTTTATTTCTCTTTCTTGTATTTCAAATAAAAAATAAAAAAGTATATATCTATATATATGTGTCGGATTAGGTCGAATCAAGTGTTTATTTTTATTTTAAAAATTAAGTCGGAGGAAGCCTTCAAAAACTCTAGTCAAATCCGGTGACGAATAGAGAGATATATAATATTCAGGTCGAATTCATACGGATCATAAACTCAACCCGACTAATATTCAGCTCTAATTAAGACTATACAGAAATAAACAATTAAAATCATTTAATTTTGCATTTTCAATGATTTTAAAAAGTATTCTGAACGAAGAAAATAAATGTGCAATTCAATGCTCTGTCGTGGCGACGCGGCCAATGCCAATGCCCTATGACAAACATTAGGATTTCTAAGCAATAAGAACATTTACTACTAAAATAATATTTATGTTAAAATGTAATGTTGAATAATTTTATAAACTTGATGTTAGTATTATTTTAATTTTAAAAATGGTTGTTTATCTCGTCCAGAAAGTGTTGTTTATTTTTTTATTATTGTTATTTTTATTTATTTTTCCTAATTTTCTCTAATTTCCTTTCATTATTTTAGAATAATCCCTTGTATTTTATTTTAAGATGTGCTTTTAAACATTGATTAACTTGCCAACCCTAGTCACCGCTCACTCACCTAGCCTGCTGCCCATTCAAACCCTCTCGAAACTGCCAAAATCTGGCAGCCTAATACAGGAACAGGACGGATAATAAATACTTTTTCGTGTCATTAATATTATTTTTCATAATGTTTTGGTAATTAAATTTTAAAAATTATTTAATTCAAAGTTTTTAAAATTTTAACATATTCGAGCATTAGAAACTATAAGGGTATTTAAACTTTCAACTTCAAATGATTAAAAATATTTAAAATAGATAATACTTTACAATCACCTTAAATTAATAAAAATATATATCATGTTTCTCGAAATTAGATTAAAATATAAAAACTTGAAATTAACCGGTCAAAAGCATCTTTCAATTATTAATCGGTTCATGATAATATTAAATCACATTAATTAATAATTATTGCAATAATTAATTATTTTTTCCCGAAGTAACTTGTTATATATACACTTGTCAAAATCAATTTGAGTGCCATATAAATGTTTATTTTTTTCCAATATATGCATTGTGAAATTTTTAACCTAACAAGTTTAATGTATGTTGCATAATCAACTCAAGAAAAATGACTGAAAAATGATATTATAAACAACTTATAAAGGGCATTGTCCAACTTGCATTTGAGAATTTCAAATACAATTATGAATTTACTTCTTTAAAGTTATTTTAAAAAAAATAACATAAAATAAACCTATCAAATAGTTTCAGCGACTCTTTACATTCATTATTATGCCAATTTTATTAAGTACTGCATCACCCAATATTAAGAATTAAAGAAAACAGATAAAATTTTCTAAATTAGATTATCATTTTGTAAATTTTCATATTTGAAGACAACAAGAAAATGTCCTAGGTTTGAGGGACTCCTTACACATTTTACCCAAATAATAATGTTAGACTGGCCCAAGATTATTGGATCAAAGCCCAACATTTGATCAGGCCCAAACCTAGATCCACCTTGATGATAGGAGATTGCTTTATTTCATCTAAATTCATTTCATCACAAAGCCTGCAAAGAAGTAGAAAGAAATACCAAATAATACAATGAGTTCTTGGTTGACATCAAAATCCATGAAAAACAATAATTTAAAGGTTCAACATCTGGTATTGTTTTTCCTATAATTCTTGAATGATATACCACAGTTCATTACATCCCTGTTGCATTCAAGTCCATACCACACACTTCATAATTAATTTCCTCCTGGTAAGAGATGATCCGCCGACCCTGTGTAAACCCATCTCCGATTAAGATGAAATGAAAAAAGCATGTTCAGGATCGAAATCATTCCCGGCCATAGGAATTATAGCCATTTGAGTTAGACATCATGTTCTGAGGTGGAGTTCGTTCCGGCCGAGGTCTTGCATACTCTGCGAATATAACCCAACCGTCGAGGAACTGCAATGGTCCAGAAGAAATTATTTACCAGGATTAAGGTAAGAAGGGAGGCAATGTATACAGATATAAAAGAAAAAAAATTAACAAAGCATGCTTCAATCACCATTCATCAATGATCTAACCTGGAACAGTTCAATAAAAGCACTTTACATATTGAATCTCTTTAAACAGTACAATTCTAAAAGGATTCTTCGAACTAAAATTATAATCTTAACACTTGAAACTGAAACAAAGAGATCCGGAAATGGATGAATGAACACAAACTTTCCTCAAGGAAACTAACATTTAAGGAAGTAGAGGGAGCTAACCTTGCCATCCATTCCCACTCTGCCTTTCTCAGCCTCTTCTATGGTGGCATATCTTACAAAACCAAACCCTTTAGAGTATCCCGATACTCGATCAGTCACCACTCTGGCTGTAGAGACAAGAAAAGACCAATGGTTATTAATCTCAGAAAGACAATTTCCAAAATTCTTTGAGGTAAGGGAGACAAACCATCAACTACTCGGCCGAACTCAGAAAAGGCTTCTCGAAGTTTCTCTGAAGGAGTTCGCTTGTTAAGCCCTAAAAAAGGAATTCGAATAATAAGTTACGTCATAATATGATCCAAATTAAAAATGCTAAACCTGTTCCAGATTGATAAACTACTTCTTTGAACGAATTAAAGATAGACGATGTCAATCCTTTCATGTGTTCATTTTATGACCACTTAATTCAATTTTCCCATATTTTCTAGCAACCAAACCAGCATAGTAACCTAATAAATCATCATGTGAGCAAAAATTATAACGAAACCAGAAAAGAGTAGGAGTGATTCAAGGAAACCCTTAAAAAATAAAGCTTGTCTGAGCAATTGAACAAGCAAAAGAACCCAACAGATCGATATATAAACGATATTTACCAACAACACAGAAAAGAACAGGATCAACAAATCAAAGTTACTAAAAGAAACAACCTTTTCCTCCATTTTCCCGCAGTTTCCAAGCAACCAACCAAAAAACTAAACATACAAGCAAATACCAAAACAACTCATAAAATAACAGGAGCAAACATGAAAAGTATGATGGATATAGATGGGAGCGAAGAGATACGTGCCGGATACAAAGAGATTGGTACTTGGAGGCGCTTGCTCTCGACCAGGAGTTCCCTCACCGTTCCCCATCGCTGCAATTGGTGGCGGCATAAAGGAATTAGCCGAAGCTTTCGAGCACAACCGCCTCAATCCCGGTGGAGCTGCACCGGCCACCATCGATCTCATCGCCGCCGCCCTCAAAGCCATGGAGGAGATATTAGTGGGAATGGAGAATGAGGGTTTAACGCTTTAAGCTAAAACCTCTTTTGTGGTGCGAGAAAAAGAACAAAAGACTTGATTTAATCAAAGGGTAAAATATTAGTCGCTTTACTCACCATCTCAACCACGCTAGTCTTGATTTTCTGTAGAAAATCTGAAAATGGATCTCCACCATCGCTATCTTTATATTCCTCTAGCTTTACTGAAGATTCAGAACTTCCGGGAGATACCTGATATTCGAATTTATCATCTGCAAACACATTTGTTTTAAAATCAAGCGAATGGTAAAAGATGCGTAAAATAATTAAAGTAACAATGGAGCAAAAGTTCTCACTGCTCTGCTGGGACTTGATGAAATCCATTAAAGCTGAATTGGTCAGGACAGCATTCCATACATTAGGATCAGCGGCAATGGAAGCAACAACAGACTGAGAGGAAAATCAGAAGGCCAAAACCATGAACCATGTTATAGTTTATAATTGCAGGTAACGGAAGTAAATCTATAAAAGAAAGATTACAAAATCAACAACCAAATAAAGCATCCTAGTATGAACTTATAACTATAAACGACTATGTTGTATCTGGCATATGGTATCCAACACTAGCACCCAAATCCGAGCACACAGAAGATGCTAACGAAAGAGTATCGGAGGAAGTGGTCCTAACAATACTATGAACAATCTGTAAGGAAGGCAATTATTCAAAAAGTCGAAAACCAAGAGGAGGGCTAAGACATGACCACAACCTGAACTGCAGGGTTCTCATTGAGTAACTTGAATGCCTGAATAGCTGATTGTGGTGCTGAAATGGCTCCAACACTGTAAGCAACACAATCTTTGGTCTCCTCGGAGCTTGAAAGCGATGAAACACCAGACACCGGACCAGCACCACCGTCATTCGAAGATGACAGGTAAACCCTGAAATAAAAAATCGAACCATAAACAAAAGAATCCCCAACAGATCAAGAATAACAATTTGGGGTTCTTGATAACAGTCTATAAGTCAATGGTACCCAAAATTGGTAACATACGTTCCACTTCTTTGCCACTAAAAGCAGCATTTAGGTGATGTTTCATACATCATAATTTAGATAGATTAACATCTCGAACTCAGATTCCAACTGTAAATATAGACCGTAAAACAGACACAGAGGATAAAGTATATATGCAGTCAGCAACCGGGATGGACCGAGAGGTGAAATCAAACCCCTAATATTTTCAGCTTCTCATATAATTCATATAATTTCTTTGTATTTTCTATTAATTATCTAATTTCAGACCACTGAAATATTATAATTTCGTTCCTTTAAATTTTTAAAATAATTTCTTAAGTTTCGCATCCCTTACCTAGATCCTATGCCCTTGTCGGCAATAGTTAGCAAAACGCTTTAAATTCATCATATTTATCCTATAAAACGATAATTAACAAAGTTTCAGCTTGATCAATATTTGATTGTTAACAGATCCTAAAACTAAGTATCCACAGAAGAAGGCAATCATCTGTTCAAATCCATAAGAGCTACTGAAAATTCATCCATCAAAAGGGCTTGGAAGAATTCTGAAATGATTTAAAAAAGGAATCAACTTTACTTGTCCAGTGCATCTTTCAAATCAGCAGTGGCTTCTTGAGTCTCCTCCAGGCTTGGAACGCCACCAAACAACACCCGAGCGATCGGTTCGCCTCTGCCGGAGGCGGAGGTCGGTCCTTCCGAAGTCACATCTTGTTCAATACCACCAGCAAATTCCCAGTCATCCACCAACTCCCAAGATGACTTGTGATTGGCCGAAGCTGCCGTGTCGGCAACAGACGAAGCCCCTTCACTTGAAACAGCAATCGTGGACGAAGAACCCGACCGAGTCGCCGCGGCGACACGCATGACGGAGTTCTCGGATGCCGGCGGTGAAACGTTAACACCACCACGAAGAGTGGCGTTCACAATTCCGACGCCGGCGACCCTCCCAACCGCCCTCATGACTCCTCCGCCCATTTCGGTGATTCGAATAAATTATTTTTTAAAAAAGAATGTCCGCTGTAAATGAACTGAGAATCAGAAGACTTCAGGATAAGACTATTTATATAATAAAATAAAAGGGTAAACAAACCTTCACTAAACTATTATTTTTTTCAATTAAGTTACTAACATTAAGAAAAATTATCAATCAAGTCACGACTATTAATTAGTTAATGGAATAAAGTTTTTTTTTTGGTCCTCCAGTTTTCTAAAGTTTTACTCTGACTAACCCGAACCGATCCATGCCACAAACCTAACTTTATGGATAAGTCTTTCATCGAAGATTGTACAATAACATATTTAATTTTTATTATTTATGTATTATATTATTTTGATGTTAATTCTAAATAAATCAATAAATTTAATTTTTTAAAATTTATAAACTTTATTAATCTGATATCAAAGAAAAGAACTTCAATTCTTTATACACAAAAAATAAACAATTTATAATTCTTGCTATTGCAATAATAGTTTAGATTTCAACTTAACGACCCATGAAATATCAATAGAACTTGAATCTACTGCCCAAAATATTTTGCAGACAAACTAACAAATTGACTCCAACAATTCAGTCGCTCAAGGAAAAAAATGAAACAAGAAACTAAATAAAATAAACATAAGAAATTTACTTGTGTGCTTGATAGCATAGGGGTAAAATTATGTATTTTGAATAAATCATTCAAGTTGTTTTCAAGTTTGACATATTAATAGATTTGTGGCGACTTTTAGATGAGAAACGAGTATTTATAGATTAAGATGTTTTTTTTATGAATCAACGAGATGTCAACTATTTTTCAATACATCTTGAAACGACTCATTTAAAGATAAGTCTATTTTAATAAAGATATTGCACGCAAAAAAAATATACGGGACTAATACATAAAATTTAATTGTTATGAATTTTTAAAAAAATTATTAATTATTTATAATTAAATTCATCGCAGCACTATTTTTTCACTAATACATGAACACAAGAAAACAAGCCTAATAGCTTGCTTTGACCTCTTGTAGTACTATTGATGCAACCTTCTTTGACGGATCATCAAATATAAATCCTTTAATTGTTTTCCCACGAACCATCTATTAAAAGATAACGATATATATAATAATGGCTCGATAAAATAGATACTAAAATTTTATGTGAAATACCATTTCAGGAAAAAAATCAGGAGCAGAACGAGAGAAAATTCACTAATATTAAGTGGGAAAAAATACAATAGGAGTCCTCATGGACAACCTAATCTCTTACCCTAATCTTTAGCATATATTTATAGTGATAGATACTTGATTATAAAGGAAACTTACAAAGTAAAAATCTACTCAAAGTAAGTTTTCTACATAAAAGAAAAATAAAGTTTCTACTTCTAATTTCTTATTTTCTCAAATTTATATATTAATTAATTTGTGTCATTTTGAATTCGAGTTAAACTCTTGCAAATCTCAACCTTGACGCGAATTCAGAAAGTGTGGAAGTTTCGAGACAAAAAAAACTCAAATTCAATGAGACACCTAAACTCAAAAATAATTCTTCACTTCAACGAACAATTTCTCCACCTTGAGAATATATTCTCCACTTCTTCCACAAAATCCCTAAGAGGGGTATTCTTCAACAATAATTGAATATTGAATCCAAAGCTTACCCAAACCTGGATTTAGTCTTCACATTATCATAAGTGCTAACTTTGCTCACAACTTGTTCACTACAAGCAATATCATCCACAACAGCATATCGATCACCAATACAATTCTATCTTTTATGTTATGCTCACGAAACCAAATTTTTTTCTTTTCAAATATGTTATGCCCACAAAATTAAACTTTTTTTCTTCTTTTCAAATATGTTATACACACGGAATAAAACTCTTTTCTACTCCTAAAAATCATTATGCCTACGATCATTTTGTTCAACACAAAATCATCATTTGCCACAAATGAGAAAATAATATATCATCTTCTATGATTGTTGAACCATTCAGAATAAAAAACTTGGCAGTTTTTCTCTGCCCTTTCATCAGAATAAGAGAGTTCTTGTAAATTTTCTTTCACGATGTCAATCTGGTGTTGAGATCAAACAGTGGAATTTCATAATTCAAAAATGTCATTATCGTGATCGAGTCAAACAATATGGATGTTATAATACCAATTTTTAGAAGATAACGACATGCATAATGATTGCCCAATAAAGTATACACAAAATTTTTACGTGAAAATTAAACCATTTCAAGAAAAACTACAGGTAGGAGATGAGAAAATTCACTAATATCAATAAAAGAATAATACAAGAGGAGTACTTATGGACAATCTAATCTCTAACCCTAATCCTTGATATTTATTTATAGGGATAGATACTCGATTACAAAGAAACTTACAAAGTAGAAATCTACTCAAAGTAGGTTTTCTACACAAAAGAAAAATAAATTTTCTACTTCAAATCAAATCAAACTAGATTTCTTATTTTCTCAACTTTATATATTAATCAATTTGTGTCACTTTGAATTCAGGTAAAACTCTAACACCATCTTTACCAACATATCAGCCACAACGTTCATATCTTTTAGAATATGCTTCGTCTTCACCTCCCAATTTGCAGCAGGGCTCTAATAGCAATAACGATGACATTATCCAATAAAATACAAAAGGTATGATTAAATATCTTACAGAGTTCAGGATTATTCGTCTCTATCTTTAAGACTATTCATTATATATTTTGGATAATTGTTAGACTTATTTTTATAATTTTCGTAAGATTACTCTGACACCATTGCACTGGATTTGGGTGATGGATCTCAAAAAGGGAAAGAAATTAAATTTTTTGAGTATTTGATGTCGGAATTAAAGAATTACGACGATAAACTGAAGTATTTTGGTGAAGAGAATAAAATATTTTAGAATCAAATTCATCTAACAGTACACGATGAAAATTCAATGAAGAAGAAAATTATGACTCATTTAACAACTTTTGAGATTTAGAGAAAAGTTTATGAAAAGTGAACTGGTTAAAGAAGAATAGGGATTCTTTTTTACGTTGGTGTTTAACTAGAGAAATCACTTGGCAACAAAAATATAGGACAATTAGGGTTCATTTTATTCAGAGAAAAAGACAAGTTTTTTTTAGAAAATGATGAATGTGTGATGAATGGGAATTATTATTAAATCAATTAAAAATGTAACGGCTCATTATTTTCATCATCGACTTAAATATACCATGGCTTGATTGATCAAATTTCCTACTGTTAGGGTCTTAATTGAAAAAATAAATTCAGTGACTCAAATAAAAATACCCAAATAGTTGGGTGACCAACAAGGTACTTTACCCAATAAATATACTTTTGTTTTAATTTTTCTTATTTTAAAATTATTATATTTTAATTGAAAAAGGAAATGATATTTTCTAAATTCTAATGGCGGTTGACGTGAAAACTTGTCATTCGAAAGGAACCAAAACGACTTGTCGTTTTGATTCCTTAAGGTGGTGGAATTTGCCTTGGAAATATCTTTATCTTACGTAAGATAAGGCATCTCAATTTATAAATTATTCATTTAAATATTTTAATCCGAAAATTAAAAAGATTTCTTAACACTTACATTTTAGATAAAAAAAATGTAGATTAACTTATAGTTTGTATTGAATGCACAAAAATGAAATTCGTAATTTCTATTTTTCGTTAACATCTGTCTAACTTATATTATTATATAGAGATTAACATCTTTTATATTTTAAAAAATAAGTTGGCACAAGTTTTTGAGATTCAAGAATTTGAGCTTGTAATGCTAAGTTTGAATCCTACCATTGTCACTTTTGGTGGATAATCTATAAATTCCTATGTAAATCTCAATTGGGTCTTAAATATATCATGACCCTGGATTGGAGAAGCCGCCCTTATCTAATTTTTTTTGTAAAAAAATATTATATAAAAAGAAAATAAATTTTTCTCAGAAAAGTACTCGTCGAAAAATATCGAACATCTTATATCTAAAATATAATATTTCATTATTTTTATTGAATAATATGAGCTGATTATAATGTAATATTTATTTATAATTTTTTAACCATTGACAATACAAACTCTACGGATACATATGCTCAAGCTTGTAATCTAAAGAGAAAATAGCAATCTCTTTAATCACTAAGACATGATAGATTCAATATTTAATTTACTTTGATGAACATATGTATTTATGGGTCAAATTGTATTTAAGATAATAGTTTAATATATATAGATCCAAGTATTTTAAATTTGTTGTTAGTTTTAATTTTTCTTTCTTAGGCCCAACTCATGTGCTTTATAAAAGGCCCTGTAATCTAAATTCAACCCACAATGAACACTATTTATTATCGATAAATAGTAGTAACTGATTGAGTTTAACCTGATTAGTATCATTGTTGATATATTACATAGAAGGATGTAAAATTAAATATATTTAAACACTCACTATTTTTAAATTTATAAATTAAAAGAAATCTAAGTAATATAAATATTGTATCAAATAGAAAATATAAGTCCAATAAATTCAACATCAGAATGAGATGTACCGAGATTTTTTTTTTATTAATTTAGAATAAAAATAAAATAATATATATTTAAAGATAATTCTCAATTATTGATATTAAACGCCCACGAATTTAATAGTCATAATACTCAAACTATAGACTTTAAAGAATAACACATTTACTACTGAAGTCACTATATTCGTTCATAATTTAGAGAGTTGAATAGGGATTTAAAAGAGAAAAGGAAATACCCACAGATAAAAGGTGTATGGATTGGAAAAAGAGAGGGATCCCAATTAGGCATGCAAAGACTTAGTGATAATGCCGAGGACAATGGAAAAACAAAATGGTTCACAATCATGAACCCTACAATGTAGGTGCTTGTGGGTTCTTTTTATTCTTTTAACAAAACAAAACAAAAAACATTAGGACATTGGACCCACCTTTCCCGCGTAAAATCATAAGGTTTTATGAGTACAGTATGCTTTTTATATACATTGATAATGAATTGTTTAATCTCATATGTTGAATGTATCTTAAAAACGTGTTATTATGTTGGTTTAATTTGTATATTGTTTTTAAATTTATATTATTATATCATATAAAAAATCATGAGAGAGAAGTGTTTCTGTAGGTATGTGAACCAACACCTTGAAAAAGGGATTTTCTCTAATTATTTTTAGTTTAAAGCATTTAAAAGAAAATATCACGTGTTAATAAAAATTTAATATGTCCAACACCAGTAATTATAAAAAAATAATAAAATTAAAATGATTGAAGATTATTGGTTGAATAAAAGGGATAAAGTTATATATATATATATATACATATATATATGTATATAATATTTTAGTTAATTATATCTTAAGTTTGCAATATAAGAAAATAAAACAAAAATGATTAAAGAAAAAAGTCTAGAAATAACAAGGATATTTTAAAAATATATATGTAGATAATGATTTAAGATAAGGTTTGACTTGTAATAATATTTATTTATGCAAAGATTTAAAATAAATTATGGATTATTGTTGTAGAAAATAAATAAGGATTTACCCTCGGCTAATTTGGTGCTAATCTAATCTATTTTGTTTTATCTTTAAACATATTAAAACAAAAGGGTAATAATAATAATAAAATATTAGACCTATTTTAAATGAGAAATTAGAATGCAACAATTCACTTCTATAATTACAAATCCTAAAACTAATTATATTTTAGTATATAATTAGAAGAAGAAGAAAACTGGTTAATTAATACATATATTTAAAACAAAAACACAAAGTGGACACCTCTATTGGAATCTTGTATACTATCTCAATGCCTCGAACCTTTTATCCTTCCTCACATTATTCTTCAATATTCCTGGGAAAAAAACAATAAACAAAAAAACCCCACTATTTTTATTTACTAGTCCTTTTATTTTTCAAAAGTATCGGGGAATAGTAATTAAAATTAATAATTTATTTTTTATTTATATTTGATATCTTTTAATGTTTTTATATAAAAATTATATTTTTTATAAAATTTAGTACAATAAATAAAAGTTAAAATAGGAACAAGAAACGAAAAGAGAACATGGAAACTGACAAAGAGAGAAAACAGTGGTCACTGACCCAATGAATGTGACCGGAAACACTACTCAGTCATTAAAAATCCAAAGCTGTTTTCAAATTTTAAAAGGTATAATATCAATAATTACTCTATAAATTTGACTAAATATTTATTTTAGTCTTATTTTTAAAGTATTTTGGTTTATTTTATTTTGAGAAAAAAATCGTTTTGTAAATACAAATAGTTAGTAAATAAACAATTGATGATTTAAAAGAGTATTTTTTTAAAAAAATAAAACGATATATCAATATATTAAAGAAAAAGAGTCAAAAAAAATTATTTAATCAATAACTAAATATTTTTTTACTCTAAAATAAAATGTTGACAACGACATTATTATAAAACGATAGAACCAACGTAATTATTTAATTAAATGTTACTAATGATTTTTTAATATTATATTTTTTTTAAATTCCCCAAGTTATAACAGAAAACCCTGCCTTAAAAATCAAACAACAAATCTTAATTTACATTAACACTAAAATCCACAAAGTTCAGTGACTAAACTGATCATTTTATCATAGTTCAATGTCCTCTGATATATTTTATCCAAAAAGATTATGAAAAGAAAAAGAAAGAAATGGAAGAGATCGATTCACCTTGCGGTTTACAGAGAGGAGGATCTTCAAAGAGAGACAAAGAGAGCTGTTTATGAGCAACACCAATGTCGAACAAGATGAGACCAGATTTCGGATCATAAACGATGATGCCTTTAACAGGCAACCACAGAAAAAGTTCTTCCTGGCTCAACCCTTCAACGCCACTCAAGCTTCCATAGCTGAGTTTAGCCCTCACAACACTGTCGAAGATCACCCTGTTCTCGTACTTTGTCAAGCACGGTTCGCCCAAGAACACTTCCAGTGTTCCATTTTCCGAAAGTGTGTAAGATTTCACTTCTTTTGGAAGCAGACCTGCTGGTAAGCCTCTCGAGACAAGAAGATCGTGGATCGAAGAAGAAGATGATGATGAAGATGAAGAAGAAGAAGAGGGTAGAAGGGAGCAAATTATTATGAGAAAATAACGTTGTTGTTTTGTTAAATATGATCTGGGTTTTATGCTAGTACTGCTGGGAACTGCCATGGATGAGATATTCGAATCGTGTATAGGAAGATGGTGAAAAAATAGAGAGAGAAAAAGGAAATAAAAAAGGGGGGAAATGGAAAGGTATTTGGAGGGGAAGATGGAAGAAGGGGTAGAAAAATATTAAAATACAAAATGGGTAAAGTATATAAGAGGTCACTAAGCTTTACTAAAATGATCGTTTTTGGATATTAAACTCTTAAAAATCAAAATGGTTATTGTTATTTTTTTTTTAATGTGGAACCTCATTAAAAAATATCCTTCATAATCGACTTTTAATCTAGAATTAGAAGTTGAACAGCAAGAGGAAAAGTGCGCCTGATAATTATATTAACTAATCAAAACAGTACAAATAAAGCACAATAAAACCTGCACAAGTTCGATTACACTGTTACAAGGAACTAATATTAAAACCAAGAAAACACGTAAAACAAAACAACTTAAAGGCCAGTCACCAAGACGAGCTACAAACAAAACCGTCATCCCACACCAGTTTTAGCCGAAGTGTCAGCTTCGATATTTATGGACCTTGAGAGTGCCGAACCACAAGTCAACCCATGGCAACGAATGTGGCAATGTCAAGCACTTACGTTCATTAAGCAATAGGGGGCCTTGGATGGATTTTTCACCCAGCTAATTGTAGCTGCCGAGTCACTTTCAATTACTAGATTATATTTTGAGAACCATTTCGAATCCTTGAAGAGATAGATTCCCTGCTTAATAGCCAAAAATTCAATCGATGGTGCAGAACAAGATCCCACAGGCAGGGAAAAAGAAAAGAAGGTATGACCGAGTGCATCCCTAAATAGACCCCCAATACCGCTAGCATTGCAGATTTCCAACCACGCCCCATTAACATTTAGTTTAATCCATCTAGGAGTAGGGCGACACCACGAGTTTTTTGGAGGCAGAAGGAACCAGATTCCAGGAGATGGGAACAAGATGATCTCATCGATCATTGGCAATTTATCTTTTCTGATTTGGGTGTGAGTTCCCACTCCAGTCTTAGTTGGACGTATTTATAGTGACAGTTAATGTGCTTGTCAGTAGTAATACCATGATCATTATTTGTACTCGTTTTTGTTAATATAATATAGTCCTCTCGTAGTAGCTTGATGATGTTCTTTGTATATAATACACACACTTTATCAACAACAAAAATGGAAGAGTAGAATAATATTAAAATACAAATGGATAAATTATATTAGAGGTCACTAAACTTTACTAAAATGATTGTTTTGATCATTGAACTTTAAAAATTAAAGAATCTTTTTAAACTTTTAAAATGGTTATAAATTCAATAATTTTAAGGACTGTTTTGTATCAAGTTGATAAATTTTAATGGTTATTTTATAATTGTAACATCCCAAACTACGGGTTAGTGACTAAATTGTAAAACTTTAGAATTTGGTGATTGAAGTAGAATAGTTGAATAGTTCAATGATTTATTTGAAAATATTTTCTAAAAGTTGTTAGTAATTATCAAAGGAATTAAAGGACAAAATGGTCATTTGACTTAGAAATAGATAAGATAAGGATATATATGGGGATAAGGTTGAGAGATCTCTCCAGAAATCTCTTCCTTCTTCTTTATCTCCTCTTCCCCGTGAGCTTCAAAGGCAAAGGTGAGTTTTCTTAATTAGTTGATTATTTGTTGAATTAAAGGTTGGTTTTTTATCCTTAGGTGATACTTAAGCTTAAGGAAAGTTTAAGTTATCTTATAATCAAAAGATGAAGAAGTTATGTAAGATTAAAGATAATGGGTTTCTAAATGATTTTCTGAAAAATAGTTAATAAAGGAACTTTGAGATGAAATTTGACTTGTCCTTCATAAGAATAAGAGATTTATGAAGTTAGAAAGGATTTATAACAAAGTTAAAAGTTTAGTAAGATTCTTTAATTTAAGAATCATGATGAGATATGGAAGATAAAGATGGTTTATATTGATATAAGTTGGTTTAAGTAATGGTAGTTGAGTTTAATGGTATGATAGGGGCTTAAAATAGAAGAATTGAGTGAAGAGTTTATGATTTTCGGGCTCAAAAAGTGATTTTTGGGCAAAGTGTATAGGTACACATGCAATATGTACCGATACACTATTAAAAGAAGAAACATCGAATGCCATAAGTGTATCGATACACATGCAGTGCATCGATACACCCCCTGAAATGAAAAACATCAAATGTAAATTGTGTACCGATACATAGACAATGTATCGATACACCAGTGAAAGGATGTTGATATGTATAAATGTATAAATGTATGATTATGTAGACATCGAACGTAAGCAAGTTCTGGAACGATCACTGAATTAGGATCGACTCAAAGTAAGCAAGGCTAAGGTGAGTGCAATTTAATTTGTACTTATGTTATAGAACAAACATTGGCTTGTGATGAGCCAATGATGGAGTTACTATGGTAAAAAGTGACTCTTAAAATGTTATTTGATTTGTGATGCATGCATAACATTATATATGGATGTTTTATACATCATTGGGTAGGATTTGCGATAAGTCTATTTCCCATGTTGGAATGCATGATTCCATAAGTACAAGCATGCGATTGATGTGATTCTTATGTATGCATGAGTACATGAAAATGAGTATATGTGTCATATGTTATTATATGTGACATGATTTACATGATTACATGTAAATGCGATATGTGAAACTGAACTAAGTGAATACATGGAAATAATATATAATTAATGTGATATAAGTGATTATGTAAAACTGTGAGATAAGTTATATGACATTAATATACGGACTATATGAAAGTATGTACATAAATACATGTATAAGTTTATATGTTATTCTGTGTGCTATGTGATGTATATATGAACATATATGAACAAGATATGACATACATGTTTACATGAACACATGAGAAATGATATATGTTATATGATATGAGATAGATGTTTACACATACATGTGGTATATGACAGAAGAGAAAGAACATGTGATCATAAGAGAATTGATATGAATATAATGCCATGTTATGTGATACGAAAGCTAAGGGTATAGTTGGCATGCCAAGAGTCGAGGGTTACCAATGTTCTTTGGGACATATGGACTGTTTACCTATGTTCTTTGGGACATATGGACTATTTACCTATGTTCTTTGGAACATATGGATTGGTCCTTCGGGACAAATTTCACATGCCCCTAGTGGGACCCCATAAGAGTTGTGGTGACAGCATACGTGCACAACCTAAATGTACTCACATACCTTGAGTTCTCAATAATATACATGGGCCTATAAAAGATATCAAAAGTGTTTGCATTATTATATGATGTTATGTGTGTTTCTCTGTGAAATGATATATGTAATATATGATATACATAAATGATAAGTACAATATCATATGATAAATGGTTTAATGATAATGATGGTATATGTGCATGTATGCATTCTGTTATATGAAATGTTCTATGATTTCTATTATATGTTTTATATGCCTCACTAAGTCAATGACTTAGTGTGTGATTGTTTCACTCGTAGGTTCCGAGAAGAGGAAGACTGATAAAAGTTAAGCAAGACAAGTCAATTTCTCCTTTCCAAAGATCAGATCAGAAAAGAATGGAATAATATGTATTTTGTAATATGGATTATGGTTGGCATGTAAATAAAGATTTGAATCCGATATGTTCTAATTGGTTTTGTAAAATCATATGATTGTATTTTATGAAAATTATTCAGTAGTATTTAATAAGAGTTTAAAATTATTCACTATTTTGTACAAGTAAAGGTTTTGAAATGTCAATATGACATCTCAGACTCGTATCCGGGTCGGATATGGGTTGGGGTGTTACAATAATATTTTGATAAACTTAATAATTATTTCGTAACATTATAGTGATTATTTTGTAACAGTATATAAGGTAGTATGTTTGTTCAAAGACTCTCAATCATTTCACAATAAACGTTCATATCCCTACATACGCGACATTTGAACCCAAAATCTTAAAGAATAACAGCAATCCCTTAATCTTTGACATTGGTAATATTAAAATTATGAATTATAATATATTATGACACCTTAAAATTTTGAAATGGGTGAGATTGATAAGGAACGTCATGTTTTTAATTGTTTTTTTAATTTAGGGTTTGCTTCTTATGGTAAGCTTATAATAAATATGATGCAGTCTAAAATTATTTGCATTATTTTGGCTTGTTTTTATGTGCATAATTGTTTAGTTTGTTGCATAGGAATCGGTATATGGAGAATTAATGGAATCATTTCATGAAAATGGGAAAGATTTTGGTTAGATTCGAAAGACCCTATAATCGTTTCCTATTGCAAATTAAACTAAAACAAACAATCGAGTAAATTCGTTGTTTGTTTTTATTTAATTTTTTCATTTACTTTATATAGTTTATAATTCTATTATGTTAGGTAATTGTCGCATTAATATATGTTTCATTAAATTTAAGATTTATTTTTTATAGTTTAAAATTAATAAATTTGGTCATGAGATTATCAAATCATATATTGTTTATATATACATTCGAGTGTCTGAATATAATTTTTTTAAACATATACTCATTGAATGATTGAAGATAAAAACATATATATATATATATACACCGTCTATATGTGCTTTTAACATGTATTATATGTGTTTTTTTTGTCGGATAAAATTCAAATAATTTTTTGTTAATATTTTGATTTATTGTTCTCATTTCTTTTACTTTGATCTTAAAGTGATGTAAATATTAAAAATTGCGCCAGAAAGCTCTACTATATCAGTAAAGATATATTCTAAAAAGTACGTTCTTTAAAACACGACCTACATAACACGTCTTTTATCAAAATGATGTTATTTTAAAATATAAATTATAAACTTATTGATATGCTTGTAAAAGGGTAAAGTACACAAGTGGTCCCCCGATTATAGGGTTTACTTTGTTGAATCCTTTGACTATTAAAAGTTACGAAATGACCTCGGGACTATAGAGCATTTGATAAGTCCCCGACTATTAAAAGTTATAAAATGGTAGCCCGACTATTCACATGTTTCAAACTCGTCATTTTCTGTTAAAAAAAATTGATGGTAGTCTGAGCTAGACATTAACCTACTACTGTAATATGATAAAATCTGATTTTAAAATCTCAAATGACTATCATATCTCAATCAACAAATTAACGTCAAACTCAAACTGTTGTCAATTTTTTAAAACAAAAAATGACGAGTTTAGAACAAATGAATAATCAAGTGACCATTTTGAAACTTTTAATAGTCGAAGGAGTCAACACAACAACATCCTAGAATAATAATGATAAAATAATTTATAATGACCAAAATAGAAGTAATTTGAAAGTTTAATGTATAAATGAGAAAAATTAAAACTACAATGAATGAAATATGAAAAAAGTAAAGTTCAGCGGTGTGATATAATTTACCCTTGTTTACATGTGTTTTTTTTTTTTTTTTGAGGAATACTGATTCCATTACGAGCTGGGCACCTGGTTGTAGGTGAGACAGCCGTATGATTTGACACGTGGCCCAAGAATAAAATCAACTTGGCATCCCCAGTTGATGAGATGGTCACGAGGTGTATATTTATTTGTGTGGAAGAGATGGGTCAGGGTAAAACCGTAAAAGCATATTTCATTGGCCCACGTGTAGGCCGTTCTGGTCCACACGCGTGATTTTTTCCCCGTGATCTCTTTCTGCGATAGAATCTAACACCACTATCCCAAGAGGCCAAGACCAATCTCTTTTCTTCTTTATAAAATACAAGAATAATATTATTGGGTAAACTAAACAATATGTCATTAAATTTTATAGTTTGTATAATTTTATATTTAATTTGAATTTTTTACGCTATAAAAGTACCAAAATGTGTGAAAAAAACAAGTCTAAATACAAATTGAATAAAAATACATGTACCAATTTAAACCTTAAAAAGTCAAATGCAAATACGGTTCAAACAAAAAAACAAAAGTATCATTTTAAATAAATGAAATTAAATTTAAACCCATTAAGCGATCTCAATAATTAAAAGAAATTTTATTCTCTCTAGAGGTCCTAAGTTCAAATAATACTATATCTGTAGGTGTGTATTGTCAGTGACTAAAAAAAATTATGAACAAATATAATTTTATAACCATCTCATACTATTCGAAAAAAATATTAATCTTCAAATGTAAAATAAATACTTTTTATTTTTTAAATATATAGTTCGTAATAATAATGACAATCTCTAAAAGATGCCACAATTTATCTTACATAACATGTAAAATTTACTAGTAAAATTCAATTTACTGTGGATTTGATTTTACTATAATTTTTTTTGACTTAATGCACTTTTAAATATTTAAATTATACATCAAATTAACTTTTAATACTTAAAGAATTTTTAACTAAAAATAGGTGTTTAACGTTTCTAACGTTACACTTTTAGGTACTTAGATCGTAATGACCGTTAAATTTGACTGTTATCTGCCACATGTCATACATATACAATTTTAAAAAAATATAATTTTAAAAAACATTTAATATTATAATTAAAAAAAACCTAAAATTTATTTTTTTTCACCGTCGATCGCCCACCGTTGGTCCGTGGCCGTCACAGTTGACGCCATCAGAACTATCTCACCGCCGCGACCAAAACCTAATTCCCCACCCACCGTGAAATTGTTTTGATTGTCGTGAAAAGCACCACGAAGGATAGCCGAATTTCTAGTTTTCCTTCGTTGTTTTCCAACAATTCTGAGTTTTCGATGGCTAAAGCTGACCATACGTTACACAATCACCACCATTGAGTTCCTCGCCTTGTTCCAAACAAAATCCAACCAATGATAACCCTTTGTCATCGTCGAAGGTAGGAATAGGAGGGAGAGGGACAACACCGCCGACGGAGGGAGTTTTTTTTCTTCTTTTGTTCTTTTTTTTAAATTAATATTTTATTATTAAAAAGTAAAAAATATAACAATAGATACCTAAAAATGTAACAAGAAAAACGTTAGATACCTAATTTTAGCAAAAAAAAAAAATTAAACATCAAAAGTCAATTTAAGGTACAATTTAAGCACTTAAAAGTGTATTAAACCTAATCTTTAAAAAATAATCTGAGGTGATTATAAGATAGTATATGTTCATAATCTTTCTTATCTATTGATAAACACCCTTACAAACGTAATTACTCAAACTCATGATCTTTTAGGAGAACAATTCCCTCGAGCACTGAAATCGCTTGATGAATTGTTTTTTAATTCTGTTGTTTTCTTAATCTTTAATCGAACCAAGTTGATATTAACCAATTCATGACATCAAATTCAATCCTGAAATTTATATACTTATAAACTGATAATGTAAAAACTAACTCATAGGTTCATGTGAGAATAAAACTAATACAAAAGACCTAGACTTATAGAATATATATGTAGTAACCCCCAAGCATGAGTTTCCAAAACATGCATAACAGTGACATTCGGTTGCCGAGTACTGTCTGCCCAGGAACCACGCATGAACTGTCAACAAATGGAAAAACAAGTTGCATGATGAAAATTAACATGAAAAGATGTTTCTAGCGATGTGAGTGTCAAATAAGAGTATACGACTAACATGGGTATTATTCTTAGCGTAGTTGGAGAGTCGTTAGAGGGCTATATTTTGTACCTATGTATGGATATGAGTCCGATATGAGTGCGTCGAGAAAAATAAAGAGTAGAACAGCATAGCATGGTATTCTCATACCTTGTCAAGATGATGGTTCTGATTGACTTGCTGCCTGCTTTGGCCTGAACTGTCCGGCAGGAGGACCGTCTTTTCGTCTCTCGTACTTTTTGCTTACATATTTTGAATCTTTTCTAGCCTTTGGTTGATAAGTAGGATATTTGCAGGGTATTATTTCACCATTGATATATTTATCACCTAAAAGTACACGAAACCATATATTATACATATGACCGTAATCTAGATGTATGATGCAATGAAAACTTTCTCTGCATAACTGAAGTTGATTAACCCAACTTACCTCCATAATCTTTATTTTTGACATCTATGTAGGAATCAGGCAGCACCCAAAGAACTCCAGGCAATCCTACATCCGAAACAATAAACTTTATCCTCAAGTCACAGATAACAACATCATTCAAACCTATGTGATTCTGATTCGAATGTGAGTGTCATGTACATATATGCTCTCAACATCGATACACTCAATCCTTCTAAAGCTTTCCATATATGAAGGGTTCTTGGACCACGTCCGAATATGCATCAGACAGGTTTCAAACATGGGTATTTCAAGTAAAATGAAGAATCAGGGTAACATAGATTTAAACCAATGGGTAATTATGAAAATATTCTTACCCTTGAACTTCTCTGAGGTTTCTTCCGAAACAGTACATTGGAAACCGGTATACGTAGAGGTGCTAAAAGCATACATGTTCTTCTTTGCTTCTTCCATGCTGTAATAAAGAGGGGGAAGAATCGTATCTTAGATTTATTCATTATGATAACTGAATTTTCATACATTCAAGCTTCACTAATATGCAAAAATGACGACGAAGCTAGCTAGTTAAGATATAAAGTTCTTGACACCAACTCAGTCTATCAAAAACCTTTTGAGGTTCCAACAATCTGAGGTGACAAATTCAGGTAAACAGGTACATTGCAAGCCTAAGACAAAGATTCTGTCCCAAGTAGCCTCAATTTTTAAGGATAAACTGTTATGATGTTGCCCGAAAATCATTATCACAAGCCGGACGAATTGTAAATCCTTTTCCTCTTCATTCTGCTTTTTAACTTCATTGGAAAATACTAATTATGAAAATTCAGCAATGCGATGTTCAATCTTGTTTCTTTCATTCAATCCAAGGCTCCATCTTTGTTCATAATCTTCAAGCTAAAACAATTATATATGATCTCACATGATAATAAACCCTTCACCTCAAACTCAATACAATTAACAAAGGAAACCCTTTTCTATGTTTAGATAAAGAACTAAGGGGGGAAAAAACCTAAGCTGCCCCATTAATTAAACATTTACCGGGAAACAAACATACACCAAAAAGAGACAAAACCCACAAAATCTCACCAAATTTGACATACCCCCAGCAAAGCAAAAAAAAAACCCCAGAGAACAAAGAGGAATTTTTAAGTACTTCGATGAAAAAAAAGCAAAACTTGCATAAAAATTTCATATTGTTTTCAGACTTTTCTACTGAAGAAAAAAAATTACCCAGGAAAAAGAAAGTCTCACCTGCCAAGAACAGTACCAAGAGAGTTGAGATAAGTCTCAATCATTTGTTCTCTTGTAGGAGCAGGGTCTTTAGGGAACTCCATAACAATAAGCCAATGGTTATAATCACATCCGGGTAACATTATCGTTTCCCTTGGCTCATTGCTGCTGCTCCTCTTGGGTGAATAGTCACTGTCAAGTGCTGCAGCTTTGATAACACGAGGAGGACGAGTACTAGATGATGAAGGAAGGAGGTGAATCAGTGGGTTTACTCGGACAGTAGGAGGTGGTGGAGTGAGCTGAGGACGAGTTGAAAGAATGGGTTTTGAAGGTAGAAGAAGAGAAGAAGGGTTTAACAAAGTCGCCATTGGAAGTGTCAGAGAAGAAGATTAGATTGTGATGCTTTCCCAGCTGATGAAACTGAAGGCGCCATAATAAGGCTGTTCGATATTTTTCGTGTTTGGGCTTAGCGATTTGAGTTCGATTCAATACTTTTTTTCATTGGGCTAACAGTCCAAAACTTATGCCACTGCACTCTTTGACACACTTGCAGATAGTTTTTTCTAGGTATAATGGTAAAATTAATTTCTATCGTTTTATCTAAATGGTTATTTAAATATTTTAATCCTATTATTTTATTTTTTTTAGTTAAAATTATATTTTTTAGATAAACTTATTAATTGACTAATAGTTAATACATGCTAATGACATAATATTTTCATATGTAATTATTGTATACATATCACATATCATTCTGAGACATGATATATATTATGTTATTACTTTGGGTGAAAAGATACATATCACATCATCACTGTTAATGATGTGACACATGTCATATCACCTTTGATACATGTCCCATCATTATTTCGGGTAAAGAATGTGCTACATTAGTAATTAAAACAAATATGTAAATGACACGTTAACAACATTTATCGACCCTTAACCAATTAAAGATTTTCATGTAACATGAGTTATTTTGACAAAAAATAAAAACATTAGAAGTTAAAATACTCTAAAAAAATAAAGACTAAAATGATCATTTTTATAAATAATGGAGTTAATTTTGACATTATACCTTACTGGATCAGAAGTAAAAAAAAAATGCAAAAATAGATAAATGGAGGACAATGACAAACAGACTGTCAATGCAAAAAAAAAAGCTGAGAATTGAAAGCTTAGAAGAGTTTCAAGCAGCAAGTACAGTCCCTTAGTTTTGGGAGAACAACTGATGTAATATCGAAACGCCTTCTTGTTCCACTATCGTCTACTATTTTCTCCATTTGTAGGTAATCTTTAACCCGCAATTTCTCCAAGTTTTCGAGGCCTTGCAACCTTTCAACTGAAAACAACTTTTTCACCCTTGAACATTTACTCAGGATAACTTCTGTAAGACGAGAAAATACGACGGGACATGGAGAATTTCACCATTGGTCCTACTTTTACAAGTTCAAGCTGGTTGCATAGTTCTCCAAGGATTAGCTTCTCGATGTTGTTAAGACGGTTGAAAGGTGATGATGACAAACCGATCATGCACTCTATCCCTGGACTACACTTGCATCCGCCAGTAACCATTACCCTTCTTGATATAAAAACAGTCGAGGTTAATTGGGAGCATTGCAGAGCCTGCAATTGTTAGATCACAATTAACTTTGAAGCATGTGTAGGCAAAGAGGATCCTACTGCGCAAATATGATTTCGGGGTCATTCGGTATCGATCGTAGAGTTATGTTTCTTAAATTTTGCATATAATGAAATAAGCATGAAAGGAATTATAGCTTGCTCAATTTTCCTACTTCTTCTCCCTTTCAGTTGCAGCATTGTTGCCAAGTATTGGAGAGGGGAAAACATCCCATAGATCTGCAGACCTCTAGTGATCTACTAGTGAGTACTAGTTTCCTCCCCTTATTGGATTTCTGATCAGGAATACCGATATTTGATAGAGAAAACCGTTCCCAAACATCATCTAAGATCAACACACAACTTGTTCCCTCTAAAATATGGTTCAATGTTGTCATCCATTCGAGTTCTTTCGGAAGATTATGTTTGAGGCAATCTGCAATATCTTATTGTACTCTGAAACATTCTTTTCTATTGAAACAGTCACCCAAATCACATTATCGAATCGGTTTTCCTTCAACAATTGATTGTTGATGTGCTTCATGATTGTAGTTTTCTGGATACCGCCGATCCCACAAACTCCAATCATTCCAACTTCATCATCATCATCCATCAAGAGCTTCCATATTTTACTCTTTTACATTAGTTTCACCTTCTAAATATGATGTTCAATATTGTTGATTTCAGCATTCCTTTTTGCAACAATTTCAAGCCATTTCTCTACTTTTTTTCCCATCCCAGATCTCTAACTCTTTCTTCGATCATGTATCTTGCTTTCGAACATTCAATATAGTTCTTAGATCATTCATTTTTTTCTTCAAAGTTTTTTGTAATTATCCAAGTAGTTGCAAGCAAGAACCCATATGCACTTTATGAGTCCAACAACTGTTCCTATAAGCTCAATATATGAAATTAATCATTACCCTGTAATGCAAACAATATAATTTGCTAAATCAGAAGGTATAAACTTATGTATATATATATACACGAGATTTAGTCAATGATGTTTCTAAGTAAACGAAACTGAACAAAAAGTTAATGGCAACGTCCAGCTTGTACACACACACACACACACACATATATATATTTTCTTTGCCTTATTCAATGAGTTCTTTCATATAATATTGCTTCTACATGAGATCAAATTCACTGATCAGGAATCTAAACAATAAACAAATATAGTAAGCCAACAAAGATTTAAATCTCATAACCCTTTTAATAAATACTTCCTCCCTTTGCCATTCAAACACCAATGTATCTAGAGTTGCCAATATTTGATTTAACAGTTATTATTGGTGCAACGAATAACTCCTCGATTAAGAACATGATCGAAATCCATACTTATAACTATTTTTCTCTTCCAGAAATCGTTTGAAGCAATAATATAGTTCTTATATTCTCAATGCATGACAGAAATAAGAATGACCCAGGGATGTAATTTAGATTCAAGTTACCAGAAGTTGAGATCCCATATTGGCAAGTAAAAGATTTTGTATATCATTTAAAAATCCCAATATTAGACACTTACACTGCCCCTCCAAGTTGAGCACTATTGGCAAGTAAAAGATTTTGTATATCATTTAAAAATCCCAATATTAGACAATTACATTGCCCCTCCAAGTTGAGCACTGGTTGAGAGCATAGGATGGCTCTGCCTGTCTGGATCCCCATGTTCTGCTCATTCTTAGCCTTTGAGGGCACCCCATTCTCCACAATGGATGGGTAGCAAATTTCATAAATCAAATGGATTTAGCTGCTCCCTCTGTTGAAAGTAAAAAATCTTTAGCTATTAATGGTCAAGTTTTGCTGTAGAGTAAACATTCAAGTTTGGCAGCTGATTTTGGTTGAAAATTGGCAAGGGAAAATTACCCAATTTAGTCTCTATACTTTAGGGTATTTAGAAGATTAGTCCTTAAGCTTCAACTATAAATACCTTAACTCATTTAACTTCAAAACCATCCCAAATCATTATAGATTTCTCCCAATACTAGAGAAATTAGAGAGTTTTCTTTAGAGTTGTTTTCTCATTTTTATCAAGAGAGAATTATCATTGTTTTCTCCTTGTTAGATCAAGAGAAGTTGTAATTCCTATTTTCTCATAGTGAAATTCTTCTACCTTTACCCGTGTTTTTACCCTATATTATTTAGGGGTTTTCCACATAAAATTTGTGTCTTATTTATCTTCATTTTTATTTTCTCAAATTATCAGTTGCGATTTTACTCTATCCAATAGCCGTATTCCGCAACAATTGGCATCAGAGCCAGATTTAAGTGTGTAATATCTATTTATTGTCTTTGTGGTTGCCACCAAAAGGTGGATCCTCAAACATAAGAAAATAAGAATGTATTACTCATTCTTTAAAGGTTCCAGAGAGCTATTCACGATAGTAAAATAGTGAGAGATATCTGTAATAGAAGCTATGGCAACGAAATTTGATATTGAAAAGTTTAATGGGATAAATTTATCATTGTGGAAATTGAATATGAAGGTCATCCTGAGGAAAGACGGTTGTCTAGCGGCTATCAGTGAAAGGTCGGTAGATTTCACAGAAAAAAACAAATGGAACGAGATAGACGAGAATGCTATGACAAACTTTCATCTAGCATTAGCAGATGAAGTATTGTTAAGCATCGATGAGAAGAAGATAACTAGAATGATATGGGATCATCTCACCAAACTGTATTGATGGAGTAAAGGGGTATCGCTTGTGGGATATCATTGCCCGCAAAGTGATCATCAGCAGTGATGTTATCTTTGTAGAAGATAAACTACAAAGAAAAGAAGAGGTAGCGCTGAAAAGTCAGAGACTACACAGATACATGTGGAAAAGGAGTTTGAACAAGGAGATTCTTCTGAAGTAGAACCAACACACGATGGACCAGAACCAGAGAGTTCTGAAGCTCCAACAACTCGTCAATTAGATCGTGTGAAAAGATGTCCTAATTGGTGTTTAGATTATGTTATAGAAGGAAATATTACATACTGCCTTTTAACAGAGGACAATGATCGATCAACATACCAGGAGGCAATAAATAGCTCAGATGCTTCACTTTGGATGATGGCGATGCAAGAAGAAATTGAAGCCCTTCATAAAAATAATACATGGGACCTTGTGCCACTACCACAAGGAAGGAAGCCAATTGGTAACAAATGGGTCTTCAAAATCAAGCGAAATGGTAACGATCAAGTTGAGAGGGGTCGTGCAAGACTGGTGGTCAAAGGATATGCTCAAAAAGATTGTATTGATTTCAGTCCAGTTGTACCCCTAAACCACATTCCATTCCAATGACCTAAAAAAAGGCGCACAATGGATCCTTGTCTGAGTTTCTCCCCTTTGAAATCCCAACAATCTCAAACCCAAATGTGAAATTACCACATGAATAATCATCAAGACTCTTCCAGTATGTCACAAATCGATCCATACCTGTTTCTAAGTTCCATCCATCTGTCTTCGTGCCCGGTAAGAGTGTATCACAAGGATGATCAAAGCTCTGTCATAGAAAGTTTTCAGGATTAGTTTCATCCTTTTCTTTCTAGCAGGTCTGGATGTCTTAGAAGACGAAATAATGCTCCCATCATGGTTCATAAGGACTAAAAAAACCCCAGTTTGAACATATTATGGAATAGGGGACTGGGATACTTGATGCACAAGCTACTTTATGAAGGGAAGAACTTATGTTACTTCTTAAATCAAATCTGAGATGTTAGTATGAATAATTGCATATTAATACTTCTTATCTAATTAGGAGATTAGATAGTTTATTAATTAAACTAAATAGATTCTTAGTTTAAATCTAAGTTGAATTATATTCCTACTTATCCTCTTTGTAAATCTGCCTATATAAAACCTAACCAGGGTAATCGTTTTCAATCAAGAAAATATAGAGAAATCAGATTTTTCTCTAAACCTTCTTCTTTAAAACCTACATGGTATTAGGCTAGGTTTAATAAATAAACCCTATTCTTGAAGAATACATTTGTGTCTTCATATATCATTTTAGGATTTGAATAAAATCCCTCTCACACCGCCATATTCGATAATTCACTCCACCATTAGGGCGTAAATGAACAAGGTAATGTTCATGTTCGTTTGTTTATTTTTTAAGGTGTTTATGTTTAGTTCATGTTCTTTGAAATTTTCAATATCATGTTTGTGTCCATTTGTTTATTTTAAAAGGTGTTCGTGTTCAATTTATTAAGCGTTCACAAACAAATTCATTTAACGTTTTTGAATATATTCGTTTAACGATCCCAAACCTATTCATTTATATCTTCATAACTCACCAAAGACCTAGATGAAGTGGCAAGTGTGTGGATAAACCTTAGTTTTAAAAGGTACTAGGCGCATCAAAGCACAAAGGGTCCCTATAGCCTGGGTGCAAGACGAAGGCAAACACCTTTTGTAATATAGGCACACTTTTTATTTTAAAAAGTTTATATATCAATTCTAGAGTACTCCAAAAACATTTAATCTCCTCTCCACGTCATAAAACTGAAGTAGTCCATGATGGATCAATCTCCTTGTGTTGATCTTCTAGACTAGGTTGGAGGCTAAATAAGAACTTAATTGGTTAAGGGCCAAAAATCATCATATGACCTACATTTCTCTACTTCACATACTTGCTTTGCTAAACCAAATTGTGTTTGTTGTCGCCCTTTATTTGGATTTTTCATATCCAACTGAATTCATGCATATTTAACTTGAAGAATGTGTTGTTAACTCTACCATTAATTGCCTTGGTAACAGTCACAAATGGTATTCATTGTATCATCTCAAAGGTCATTTATCTACCGGTAAGAAAAAAAGTTAAAATTATACCACTAATTCTTAAACTCTTTAAACTTCACAGTTTGGACTAAAAAAATTACCCTATATTCAATTTAGTCCATACTTTCACCAATATTTAAAATGTAAAATAATAAAAAGAAAATGAGAACCAAGTAAATGAGCTTATAAATAAATCGATAAGCAAACTTGTTTGTGAATATAAACAAACTGAACACACATCTATTCTTGTTCGTTCGTTTAGTAAATACACATAAAATTTTTATTCATACTCATTTATTTAACTTAATAAACAAACAAGTAAAACTAGGGTTTGTTCTTTTTTTCTCTTTTTTTCCATAGCCGTCGTTAGTCTCTTTTTCTTTATCTTTGTGATCGACGGCGACACTAGTCTTGGTATTGATTGCCGACCGTCGGTATTCATTATTTTTCCTTTGCTTTATTACATCTTATCTTTGTTTTTTTAATTCTTAATAATTCTGCCTTTTTGGTACGTATTGTTCTGTCTTTATGACACGTTTTTCTTTACCTCTATCACACATTTTCGGTTGTTTCACCATTGTTTTCGTTTATTTTTTTGGTTGGATTTGACATCGCCATGACTGATCAGTCATTGCGATGTCAAATCAAGATGACATTTATTTGTTATCATGATGATCTTCCCTGCTTTGGACCCTCAAATTGAATTTGGATATGTGATTTGCGTTCGTGGATAATATTTTCACATCAGTTGATTCTGATTTGCGGTATGTCAATGGTCTTTTAATAGCTTTATTCTCTTTTGTGGTACGTTTTCCGATACAGTCAGATCTATTCGTATTTATCTCGTGTTCGAGCTTATTTGGTTAGGTTTTTTAACCTTTTCCTTGTATGGTCATTGTGTGATTTTAAGTGGCTAATTTTCTTCAGTCTAGGAAAATGTTCTTATTATATGTTTTCTTTATAGTTGTGGTTATAAATCTTCATTGTAATTTGAATACTTTCTATTTTTAATAAAATTAACGGCTTCTAAAATAAAACTTAATAAATAAGCATTATACAAATCATTTATTGAACTTTCTTTCATTTACACCTCTACCCACCACCATTACTTGCCACAAACTAAATGGCCGCCATTACTACCCTAAGGTTTGATTCGGTTATAGTGTATAAATGCAAAAACTAACTAAACTAAATGGCCACCATTACTACCCTAAGGTTTGATTCGGTTATAGTGTATAAATGCAAAAACCAACCGTTAATTGTAATTTAATTTGCATATTCCACTGAAAATTGCTAGAATTTGTGCTCAAATTTGACGGTCACTTCAGTGATCCAATACAACATCTTAAATTTTGTGTCAAAATCGGAAGAAAATCTAGAGTTATCTATATTTAATTAAACATGTTTTTACTGATGCAACGAATAACTCCTCGATCGAGAACATACTCAAAGGAGGTTTTGATTGTGTGTAAAAGGTAACAATATGATCAAATGCCATAACTTTTTTATTTAAATCCATACTTATGACTACTGTTTTCTTCCGGAAGACTTTTGAAGCAATAATGACTCTTGTATTCTTAATGCATTACAAATAAAAGAATGACCCAAGGATGCAATTTGGATCCAAGTTACCGGAAGTAGAGATCCCATATTGACAGGTAAAACATTCTGTATATTATTTATAAAACAAAATATTACACACATACATTGCCCCTCCAAGTTGAGCACTGGCTGAGAGCATGGGATGTCTCTGCCTGTCTGGATCCCCATGTTCTGCTCATTCGCGGCCTTTGAGGGCACCTCAGGTATCAAGTTTTTTTTACAATTTTTTTTTTGTTTTTTTCCTGTTCGGTAAATTTAAGTTCTGGACAAAAATGCTACACAGATTTGATTAATAGATGAGCAATGTAAATCTCTCAACTAAATTATTTTATTTTTGTTCTACTTTGCAATTAATAGAGAATTATGTCTGTATGTTATGCATAATCCAATTGAATGAACAACTGATAGCCTCTGTTTTGAGTTTGCGAAAATGATAGGCAACTATACAAGGCAAAAGAAAACTGTCCCATTCATCTGGAAATTCTGACGGAAACCCTTTCAAAGAACTGCATATAGGGGATCTTCATATGTTGCAATTTTTATTTGAGGCGAGGGTTCAGAACGCGAGTTTATATTGAGAATCAAGGTGTTGTTGACGTGTACTTGAGTGAGTGTGTTGTGTTGGCTGAGAATGAGGATGGGAAGAAGAAGAAAAGTCAAACGGTCATTTGCTAAAATCAGCTGGTTTAATACGTCACATCAACATTCCGTTACTACATAATATCAGTTAACGGTGAGTGATCGATTTGTTATAAATCAATAATGTTAATAACCGATTTGTTTCTTTTGAAATTTCAGTGGGAAAACGAAAATTTTATCTAAGTCGAAACAAAAAATAAATAAACAAATGAAATAAAATAAAATAACGATTAATAATAGATATTACTTTGTAATCACCTTAGCTTAATAAAAAAAAATGTAGTCAAAGTTTCATAGCATGTACATACACACAAAAAAGGAAACAAATGAAAATCGATTTCAATTCGAACAAAATGATCACCTTCTGACATGCTTCTTTACGGACCAATCCGACTCTCTCAACATTTTTTGTGTCAAGCTGATAATTATTCTTCAACCTGCATAGAAATTATGAACCTTAGATAACAAGGATATGGTATAAAAACAAGCATAAACAGTATCAAAGGTTATGGTAACCAAATTCGTGGTGCAATGTTGAGTTCACATCTATTCGTTTTACCGGAATTAATGTTTCTTCCCTGGTCGACCCATTAGAAAACTGAATATTTTCCATTCGTTTTGGTTGTGGCCCTGCCTCCGTCCCCTCATAGATATTACGTTTTTTCTTTCCAAGGGGACCGTTAGCTATTGATCCATCAGCAGCAGAGTCTTCATTCATATCTTCAATTTTTACACAACTTTCATCACATTTATCCTCAAAGGGAGATGGATATAATTGGTGACGCGACCAATAACGAAGGAAAAGGTGGTCCTTTTTTATGGGCTGATTATGTTTTTTACCTAAAAGGAAACCACTATCATCTACAATGTAATTTCCATCTAGGAAAGCAGATTCATCACAAGCAGCTTTTCCAGAGTTTCTACGATGGATAACAGCTTTACAGCCATTAACCTCATCCCTCGAAGGATCATCGTTGACAAAAATGCAGCAGAAAGCAACTCCCATCCATTGAATATCATTCAGAATATTGAAAGGCAGTGGTATCTTGATTGAACAGTCAACTCTCTCACGGCTGAACCCTTCTGGGATTTCATTTCCAGGTACATCAATGTCAAATATGCCTCTTGAATTTTCAAACGCCTGCAGAACATAACTTTTGTTGGTAAGTAATAGTAACAAACAAAAATAATCAAGTATGAGATTTTGTGAGAGAAACAAAGATATTAACCAACCATGAGAAATTTTCTCAGCAATTTTAATACATTGACATTCTCAGCCAATCTGTAGCAGTGAGTACGGAGAATGCAAGCAATATTCATTGAATTGCATACTTTTGAAGGAAATGCAACTAGTTCCAGAGAAGCACAATTTTCCATTTCCACCAAGGTTATATTTGTTACAAACTCAGGCAACGATTTAAGTTCCTTGCAATTTGACAATTCAAGATGCTGAAGCTTTGAAAGTCGAGTAAGGGACGGATGTATGCTGATGAAATTGTTACCACTAAGATTAAGATGGGCCAAAGAGGATAGATAAGAAACATCATTAGGAATATCTAATTCACCAATATTGCACATGCCACAATTTGATAATCTAAGAGATTCAAGCTTGGAAAGTCGAGTAAGGGACGGAGGTATGCTGATGAAATTGTTACCAGTAAGATCAAGTCGTTCCAAAGAGGATAGACGTGAAATATCACTAGGAATATCTTCTTCTCCAAGATTGCAGTCCTTTAGTTTCAGCTCTCTTAATGAACTTAAACCAGACAATGAACGTAACATCAGAGCCTTCAAATTTGTCCTCCTTTGCATTACGTGGAAAAGAGAAGCGAGATTTTGTCGCAATTTAAATTAAGATCCCTTGCATCCACTGAAAGACGGCACTTTACGATTCTTAAATTGAAAAATGAAGTATGGTGGTTCTCTTATGGCTGTCTCACTTAAGTCAAGCTCTTCCAAAAACTCTACTTGCTTCAAGTTCTCTGGCAAATTTTCAAATTTATAACAACAAGAAAGATTAAGAGTTTTTAAACTTGTGCACCCACCTATGGTGCTAGGGAGGCTCACAAGGTTACGGCAATCTTTCAAATTTAGCAAAACAAGACTGCTCATTTTTCCTATTGAAGAGGGAATATTTTCAATGCTTGTCCCATCTAAATAAAGTTCCAACAAGCATTCCATCTTCACATCAATCTCTGGAAACTTTTGAAGCTTAGAGCAACCGGAAAGAATGAATGTTTCAAGAGATTACATTCCAATATTGGTTGGAAGATTCCTAAGACTTTTGCAGCCTTTTAAATTCAAAAGTTTCAGCCTCTTAAGAAATCCGATGGAAGAATGAACATCAACTATTTTTGTGCAACCTTCCAGAATTGAAGTTTCAAGACTTGGGGCCATTGTCAAGTCCGGTGTCTTGATCAGGTTCTGAGACCCTTTGAGGTTGATCACTTTCAACTTATACATGGGCTGTTGAAAATTGGAGAGAAAGAAACAACATAAGAAAGGTTAACTTTGTTGTTAGTTTTCTATCAAAATCGAAATTTAATCATTCATCTTAAAATAAGCGAAAAGACAAGTGCTCTTACTCTTGCTCCCTTCCACAGTTGTTCAATGCGGCTATAAGGTAAGAGAAGTGCAACAAGGCTGTCCGGTTCGAAGCACGACGGTAAGGATCTTAGAAGACATCCTTCCCAATCTAAAAGCCGTAGCTCATTTGAAAGATAATTTAGATCATCACAATTTTTGAAGCAAAGGACATTGAGTAATCTCAAAATTTTCATCTTCGTGAAAGCATCAACTCTCAAGTTGAGAAACTTGTTAGATTCCCTAATAAACCATGGGGAAAAGGGCAAAAAAGTAAATAAAGGAACACCGAACAGCTAAAAAAAAAAAGAAAGAAAAAAAATAATATAGTATGTATGTTTTTCTACCTTTCATTGTTTATCATCATGGCTTGAACCATATTCGTACCCTGATAATAATAATAAAATAAATATACTTATTGTCTATCATCATGGATTCTTATTATATATATATATATACAAAAATGTTTGTAACTTCAATTTTGTTGAATGACTTACTGTGTCTTTTGTTAGGACATGATGGACGTCACATTCTTCCCATAATCTGCAACGTTTCCCAGGTTCTTCTATACATTTTTCCTTAACAATTTTTCTTCCCATTTCTAGTAGCAAGTCGTGCATCCACAAACTTTGTTTACGGACTTTTATGAGTGATTTCTTAACGAGAACATCAATTCCAATATCCGAAAAGCGCGTGATGGTGGAAGTTATGGGGTTCTTTTTTCCAGGAAGAATCAGAGAATGTGAGAGAAAAATTGGTTGCTTTGCCGACTAAGTGGACTCTTAAGTCAATTGTAAAATTATAATAAAATATCTTGGACGGTTGCTTTAACTATAGTGGGATATGATTATACAACTATATTATAAATTAGGGTAAAATATACAAATGATCACTGAGCTTTTCAAATGCTTGCATTTAGGTCTTCCAACTTTTAAAACTTGTAATACAGTCACCAAACATTTAGTTTATTTGCAATATGGTCCCCGATGTAACGGCTATTTCACTGCCGTTAGGGTAAATTATATAAATGGTTACTGAACTTTTCAGACGCTTCCATTTCGGTCTCCTAACTTTTAAAACTTGCAACACAATCATTAATTACATTCTAAACCCTATATTCCAAAATATTTCAATTACATTCTAAATCTCAAATTCCAAAATACTTCAATTACATGCTCAACCCCAAATTCATAATACATTCTCAAAATATGTCATAACAAACTAAACTTGAAGCAACAGTCCTAAACCCTCAAAACATAACCCTAAATGCTAAATTTCCCCACCAATTAACCCAACATAATCAACAACATTTAGTTCATTTTGGGTCCATAACAATAAGTGATTATGTTGGGTTTAGGATTTAAAAGTTAGATTTAACCAACTATAAGTGAACAATACTCATTTCGATTCAAAAAAATTATTTTTCAACTTGGATTGATTCAAAAAATTTGATACAAATTGATTTTGAGTTGTAATTTCATAAACTCAACTTAAAAAATTTCAAGTTAAAATCGAGTTGTAAAATACAACTTGAATATCTCAAACTTTTTAGTAATTAGTGGATTAATTTTTAAGTTTGAGTCAAGTCCCTTGACTCTGTATAATATATGTGTACCACATATGGAAAAATATGAAGAAATGTATGTATTGTATATGGTTAAAAAACTATTTAAATTAGAATCAAATAATATTATAGTATTATGTTGAAAACATTTTGATGTTTCAATATAACAAATTAAGTATAAATGAATTTTAAGATTTTCCAAATGATTTTCTACGAATATTCGATTTAATTATTCGAATATCAAAATATTACTCCAAGTCTTTTCAAAATTCAATTTCAAACCTTACTAAAGTGTAAAATTGTGTTTTAATCTTAGAAAAATTTTGAAACAATTTTCACAAAGTATTTCGAACCAATAACGAGCCAAAAATCAATTTTATGAAGGGATGTACCGATGCACTCATTTGATGCATCGATGCACACCCATTTCGAATGCAATTTATGCACTGATGCACAAGTCATGCATCAATGCACTCTGAGTTTTATTAAAACATCGAAATGATTTTATGCACCAATGAACAAACCATGCATCGATGCACTCTGGCTATTTTGAAACATCGAAGAAAATTAGTGCACCGATGCACACCCTAGTGTACCGATGCATTAAGTCTTCCAACGGTCGAAATATTTGAATTTTACACAGTGTATCGATGCACACACCCTATGCATTGATGCACCATACGCTCCCAACTATTTTATTAATTGTTTTCACACACTAACGGCTCTATTGACTCCACTAATGATCCCCAACGTTTAGAAGATATCCAAGTAGTATTTAAACAAGCTTAGAAGCTATTGATAAAAAATAAGAAACAACAATCAACAAGAATCAAGAGAGAATTAAAGAGAAAGCATCAAACCTCAAGTTTGAGCATCTTCAAGCCTATTTCATTCAATATTCATTTTTTTCTTTCAAGAACACTTATTGTGCTCAATTGTATTATTCTTGAGTGATCTTTCTTTGTTCTAGAATTGTGCAAACATCTTTCCTTGTGAGGATTTTCTTGTAAGTTTGCAAAATTTGTATTGTTCTCTTTAGGAGATAGTGTTCTCAAGAATTTGGGGTATAATTTTTGAGGGATTTTTAAGGTTACTCATTGTCCTCAAAAGAAAGACAAATTAGTGAATTTGAGAAAAATCCTTAGTATGGATAGCTAAGGTAGTGGACATAGAATTTGGTTGAGAAAGTCGAACCACTCTAAATCGTTGTGCAAATATTTTCAATTTTCTGCAAAAGCTTCCATCGAAATTTTTATTGCCAATTCACCCCCTCTTGGCCTATTTCGTCGATCGATTAACTCAACAATTGGTATCAAAGCCTCACTCATTTTAAGTTTTAATCGCCTATTGAGTCGATTCGGGAAGATTTACATCGATAATCAAGTCATCAATGGCCTCTACTTCAAACTCTGACTTCGGTCTTGATTCATTGCCTGTAAATAAGCCTCATTTCTTCAATGGAGCTAATTATTCTTATTGGAAGAATATGATGATGTATTTCATTCAAACAAGTGACATGAGAGCAAGGAATATCATAGAAGACGGATACATCAAACCTTCCACTCAATCAAGATTATGGAGTGAAGGAGATACAAGAATGTTCCAGCTCAACTCCAAAACCATTCATATTATTTTTTGTGCTCTTAGACCGGATGAATACAGGAGAGTTTCATCTTGAACAACCGCCAAGTAGATATGGGACAAACTACAAGTCACTCATGAAGGAACAAACGAGGTAAAAGAATCTAAAATTAGTCTTTTAACTTATATCTATGAAAATTTCAGGATGAAACAAAATGAAGATGTCAAAGCTATGACGGATAGATTCTCCACGATTGTCAATAGTCTCAAATAATATGGAGAAATTATTCTAAATGACAAGCTTGTAATGAAGTTAGTTTACTCTCTTTCAAAAGCTTGGCAATCAAAGAAGACGGCGATCATTGAGGCTAATAACTTAAAATCCTTGACCCTCGATGAGCTTATTGGCTCTCTCCTTATACATGAAATGATGCTTAAAGAAGAGGAAGACCTCGAGAAAAGAGATGAGCCAAAGAAGGAGACAGAGAAGAAGAAAAATATTGGAGTTCCTCTCAAATCAACAAAAGATGAGAGTGATTCGGATGAAGATAACGATGATGAGGAAATGACATTGTTTGCCAAATGGTTCAGAAAATGAATGAGGCCAAACCGAGGAAGAAAATTCAAACGAAATAAAGGCTTCAAGAATGAACCAAAAGAGAAGGACCCGATCATTTTCTATGAATGCAAAAAGCCGGGGCATGTCAAATATGATTGCCCATAATTGAAGAGAAATGGTCAATCAAAGAATAAGCACAAGGCTCACGTGGCTACATGGAGCGATGAAAAAGGTTTCGATGAAGAAGAACAAGAAGTAGCAAACTTGTGCTTGATGGCATTCGAGGAAGATTCTCAGGTAACCTCTAGCTCATTTAATTTTGAAGATTATTCGTTTGATGAGCTATTAGAGGAATATAATGAGCTGGCTTCGAATTATGAGAAATTATTTTTAAATATAAAAATGATATTTCAAAATTGAAAAATGAAAATAATCTCATATCCAAGACCAACAATGATCTTGAAAGTAAAATAAAAAAATTGCAAATCAAACTAGAAGAATTTGAAAAGAAAAATTCTGATTTGCATAATTTACTTTCAAAGGTCAATGATGATTATAAAAAGAAAATTGACGATCTTAAAGCTTCTTTTGATAAAGTTTGGATAAAACGTTTTGAAATGGAGAAAATTCAAAATCCAACTTTGTTAGAAAAAGTTTTAAAAACTACAATAATAGAGGTTCCCGAAGAACCTCTAATGGAAAAATCGTTAGAAGTATATGAGTTCCTAAAGAACTCATTACTACTAAAGATAAGGATATACTACACAAATGGATACCTAAGGGGATTAGAATTTTGGAGACTAATGAATATGGACCCGAAAGAATTTGAGTACCAAAAATAAAAAATTAATCTATGTTTGTAGGGAAATGAGCATTACTACAAGGCACGAGAAACAAATTCAAACTCATGGTACCTTGATAGTGGATGTTCAAGACACATGACCGGAGAAAAAAAACTGGTTCAAAGAGCTCAACGCCAAAAATGGAGGAGAGGTGACTTTTGGTGATAACTCAAAAGGTCACATTGAATGTATAGATACTATAGGTAATACCTCTTCCATACAAATTAAGAATGTTTTATATGTGAATGGGTTAAAGCATAATCTATTGAGCATTAGTCAATTGTGCGATAAGGGATTCAATGTCATGTTTAAAACTAATGGTTGTAAAGTCATTGACATTGCATCTAATCGGATTATGCTTGTTGGTCATAGAATAGGAAACATTTACTTGGTGCATTTATATTCTATAGATATGACTAATTTATGCCTAGTTGCTAAGGATGAGCATGACAGTTGGTTATGGCATAGGAGACTAGGACATGCTAGTATGAGTGTTTTGCAATGGTTAATTCAAGGAGATTTAGTTCGAGGGTTGCCTAAACTAAAATTTGATAATTATAAAATTTGTGATGCTTGTGCTAAAGGAAAACAAAAGCGAATTTATTTTAAATCCATTAATGAGGTATCCACTAGTAGAGTATTGCAATTTATCCATT